CCCTTGTAACTGTAGCATAGACACGTTCTAAAGAATGATGTGTATGGTAGAAAACCGACTTCACTGGTGGCTGTTAGACATGAAATTTAAAATGCATTTGCAGCAATCCAACTGGACACTTTAGGCAACGTTTCGTAAACAGTAGTTCGCCGTATTAGTAAAGGTTTGGCAGCTAAAGGCCACCATTTTAAATGTCTCTTTTGATTATTGGGTCTAAATATAACTTGTATTAACCTCGTGATGTCTGAATAAATTTAGCAGTGCAAAATTTAAACAGGTTTATCCTTTCCTGAAGTCTGTATATATATTTTTAGCGGACTCTGTATATATATATATATATATATATATATATATATATATATTTAACGATCATCACGATATATATACCCAGATGATCCGTTTAGGTGAAATCTAGGTAGGTTGTTCCTGGCTCTTTAGGATTTATTCTATCTATCTATCTATCTATCTATCTATCTATCTATCTATCTATCTATCTATCTATATAAATATGTGTGTGTGTGTGTGTGTATTATTATATATTTTTAAATGCGGACAAATTACACGCTACAAAGAACCATTTTTGATTCTCACCAATCGGGATGCACATAATGCATCTAAACAATAATGCATCTTTCTAGTGAGTGATTGTTTTTGTCCGCATGTAAAAAATCTATAAGAAATAATTATTGTTCTACACTTGCTATTGAGCCCTCTTTTGAATTAATGCTCTGAGCGTTAAAATTGATATTATTTATCGTTCTTATTACATCTGGACATATATATATATATATATATATATATATATATATATAAATATAAATAATATATATACAATCATAAAATAAATATAAAGAACCGTATCTCTCATTTTAATATGTTTCGCCTTTATTAAGGCTTCATCAAAGATGGAGTATAGAAATAAACAAAAAGACAGGCTATTGGTATGTTATGATTTTGGTTAGTTCTTATTGGTCAGATACGTATCACATGTATTAACGCAATATATAAATATGTGTGCAAAGCATTTTGGACGTTAAAGTGTGCGATAGCGGAAGAGTGTTTAGACTGGCATTTCAACTCTCTCGTTTTAAATCGAAACGATATGGGATATAACAGTGATTTCACTAATTTGAGCCTTATTAAAAAAGAACAACACCTTTTAAAGAGAAACTATTTTGAAAATATATTTATTGCATTACTACCAACTACAAACACTCGCTTAAAACATTACATCACATCACCATTATTGATCAATCTAACTTATGCTTATCTAATAAAATAGTGAAAATACACAAATCCTTTTTAAAAATACGTTTGAGAAATGTTTTAATGATAAATCCAACCAAATGTAGATTATTACAATATCTTATCTCGTTTCACCGACCCACACAAATTTGACGACCACAGAAATCCCCCCCACCGCACGCACACATATACAGGAGATTATAAAACCCCAACCAAATACAAAATTATTGCCACATATCTCCACATTTCACCGACATATGAGAGGGTGACATCCGTAGATATTCATCACACACACACACTTATGCACGTATATAAATTAACGTTACCGTTCAACATATGCCTAGACACACAAGCGTTTCTTTATTTACACACTCTTACACTATCACACACTTTGATATTCAAAATGTTCATCAACCATATTGATATATTATCTATTGCTTAATACACGTGACGCGTGTCTGACCAATGAAAACGGTCCAAAAATCATAACATACCGTTAATCTGTGACTCTTTGCTATTTTCATTTCCGTTCTCAATCTCTGCTGAAGCTTTAATAAAGATGAAACTTGTTAGATTGAGATACATTTCCTACTTGTTCTTTATTTTACTTTACCATCTTGTCGGATTCCTATCCATATCTGATCTTCATTTGATCTTCAACTCATATATATATATATATATATATATCCAACCAAATATGTTAGCTCTATCTCTGATATTGAGCGCTTTCTAATAAGTACCGTGCATATAATATATAAATAATTATACATATATATAGTTATTTATATATATATATACACACTTTTCACACACACACACACACACACACACACACATATATATATATATATATATATCCAACTAAATATGTTAGCTCTATCTCTGATATTGAGCGCTTTCTAATAAGTACCGCGCATATAATATATAAATAATTATACATATATATAATTATTTATATTTATATACACTTCCCCCCCCCACATATATATATATATATATTAAAGACATTTTTATGTTTTAACGTTCTTTTTTATAGATACAAGTATTTAAGTAAATGCTCTGTTTATAACAAAACAGTATTAAATAACATTTACCGGCCTGAATGTCCGAGAAATTTTCATAGAAAATATTCGTTCTTTGACAAGATTCGAACCTGCATCCTATACGGAACCGTCATTTACGCTGACGTGCCTTACCGATCGGCCACAAAGAAGCGTTCGGTAGGCAAGGTTGAATTTATTGCTTATAAACTTCAATCTTCCATGAATCTCGTACATTCATAACTGCTCTGGCGTATCAAATGTAAACAAATGACGTCATATATTAAGAAATGGACAAAGTCCGACAATTTATTTATTAAAGACATTTTTATATTTTAACGTTCTTTTTCATAGATACAAGTATTTAAGTTTTCTATGAAAATTTCTCGGACATTCAGGCCGGTAAATGTTATTTAATACTGTTTATTACAAACTGAGCATTTACTTAAATACTTGTATCTATAAAAAAGAACGTTAAAACATAAAAATGTCTTTAATAAATAAATTGTCGGACTTTGTCCATTTCTTAATATATATATATATATAAAAGTATATAAATATGAAGCTAAAGAGCCAGGTAAACCTACCTAGTTTTCATCTATACGTATCGTCAGGGTCGAGGTAAAGGTGGAACATAATATACATATATATATAGCCTACAACATAAAAACAACCCATTGTTGAGTAACGGTTTTACTTTGTAGATATTTCTTTTTTTTAGTCACGTGGTCATGGTTGTTTTTATATTGTAGGCTGTACATATTCTATTCCACGTTTACCTCGTTGGCCAGTCGACCCTGACGATCCGTATAGGTCAAAACTAGGTAGGTTTACCTGGCTCTTTAGGCGCATATTTAGGTTTGGTCTACTTAGTGTATTGAGCTCTTTATGTAGTTACTTTTGCTTTACTCGTTCCGGGGGTGTTTTTCTTTGGACTCTGAGCTTGAATTCTGGACGATTGATTTCACCTCGATGGTCTTCTTTCTTTTTTATCCCTTATTTTCCCTTGGGCATTGGTTTGTTCAATTACAAGCCAAAATACCTAAAGTTTTCAAACAGTATAACTATATATATATATACACACACACACACACATATATATATATATATATATATATATATATATACACACACACACACACACACACACACACACACACATATATATATATATATATATATATATATATATATATATATATATATACATACATACATATATACTTATGGTTAAATCTAGCCATTTCAGCTATAAAACGATAAGGCCATGCCGACAATCTAGTACTACACTTAAATTCATAAAGGCTATATATATATATATATATATATATATATATATATATATATATATATGTCTGTCTGTGTGTGTGTGTGTGTGTATATGGATTTTGTTGTATGTCTGAAAGATTGAGAGCTGTTTTTTAAAGCTCTCATGAAATAAAAAATATTACCCATGGGATTTTAAGTGTTTGATATTCAATAATTAATTAATTAATTAATTAATTAATTAATAATAATAATATATAACACATGCATACACATACTCACACACACATACAGACACACACACGCACATATATATATATATATATATATATATATATATAAAATCAGGTTCCAGCGCACTGTTCAAGTCCTGGTCAAGATAGGATTTTTAAAATTTTCTAAAAGCGAGATTTCTCTCATTATTTGGAAGATTGGCGTAATACTATCTTCCAATTTCATTTATCTTGTACTGTTCGCCGAGAAGGTTAATTATAATCTCGAATTGGAGAACAAATCAGTTTCTTTGTATTTCATTTAGCCCCTATCTTCCAGCCATCAGTTTAAACTGACACCTTTTTTCCATGTCTAAATTATTCTATTATATGTGTGCTTGTTCCTCGGTTCGTTAGTTTGCACGACCGTTACGCCCTGCCAATACCTCATTACTAATGGTCTATACCGTTTTGATCGCGTGGAAAGAGGGGGAGAAGACACTACTTGGTTTCAATGAGAAAAATGAAAGAAAGGGAGAATGAAAGATAAAAGTGGGGAGACAGAAAATCAGATTAAACTGATAAGAACAGATACTGTACTTTGATCTCATCCACACGACCGCGAAGATGTGACAGCTTAGATAAAATAACTATTTTCAGACGCAATTTATTGAACGACGAAAACTGAGTCAGGCAATCACCAAAAGTCCAGCTGTGATGAATAAAATAACATATTGTGTTGAATTATTTTAAAATTATTATTAAGAGAAGTGTTCGTAAGACGGGGATTTGATTAGAAAGAAAGAAGTGTTTCACGTCTCCTGTCAACGTCTCATAACTAATAGACTATTCTGTTTTGATTACGTAGAAAAAACGAAAGACACGCTACTTGGTTTCAGTAAGAAAATGAATGATATAAAGACAGGAAGAAGGAAAGACAGAAAGGTATAACGGTTGTTTCAGTGAAATGGAAAAAGTTGCCAATATTTTTCATTTGTACCCACTTCTTAAAATAACGGCAAGCATTCATATTTATCTTTGCTATTGTAATATTTTGATAAAGTTGTTAAGCGCAAATATTTATCGACGCGATAGGGGAATTTCTACGGATATTTTATTGCAGTAGAATCACCATGAGCTGACGGAATCGTTAACTGACGAATTAAGAATCATAGGAAAATTCAAATTATAAAAACCGTGAAATTTCTACGGGTCTTTCTAATCATTATAAACTGGCTTACGGCCACATCATGTTGAAACACCGGTGTCCATACGACCACCGACGTTAAGCAACGACGAGCCTTGTCAGTATCTAGATGGGTAACTGTTTGGGAATAACAGATGATATATGCTTTGATGTGAGGATGGTGTAGGATGGTGTAATGGATAATGACACTGAATTGTTAACCAGAGAGCCAATTTCCGATTAGTTCGTTTTATCCGCTTACACAGAAATGCCTTTGATAAAGGTATGAATCTGTATTTTCTCCCCTGGCTATGGGTTAACTAATAAGACTTGTGTCTGTAAACCATTAACATTTAGAAAAAAAATACTCAGAATCTAAGAATATTTTCTGGCTTTAAATTTGCTGTAACCTAGGTAAAGTTATTGAACAGAATAACAAATCGAAGGTCGAGAATACCAACACATATAATATGGCGCATAGAAGTAGTCAACTGCTAGAAGTGAGTCAAGTGAATTCCACAATGAATCTCCAACTTCAGGATATCTGCCAACCTCCCCACGTGGTCAGATGTGGCACAAGTCCGAATTGAATGTCGGGTATCCGAGCCCGTATCCGTTTTTACCCCATATAAAACGCAGCTGGAGACGAATCACCAATACTAGACCAAATACAGTATTCACTACTGTATTTACGGGAACATACCAATTATCGTCCGTAGGTATGCTACAACAAAATTGCTCGTAATGGGTTGAGAAGCCATAGAAAACGAACCGATCACTTAATCATAATCATAAACTGAAATCAGAAAGTGAAAATCTTACTGAATATATTGAAAATTTTCCAAATTTTCTTCTGAGATGAAGAAAATAAAAAAAAATTATGAGCAAAAGGGTATCAATATATGAAAAAAAAAATACATCTGTCCTGTTATTCGTATAAACTGACAACTTCTTTATTTCCAATATATCAAAATTGTAATTACGTATCATAATTATTATGTTGGAAAAATAAATATGTTGGAAATTTGCTCATTTTTCATGTGAAGTAAAAAAAAAAAAAAAAATAAAAAAAATAACGAACTGTTAGCAAAATAGTGACAATCTTCCGACAGAAAAAGTTATTAGTTTTAACAGATACTTGGGGGATGGGATTAAAAATAAAAACTATGTATGTATGTATATATATATATATATATATATATATATATATATATATATATATATATATATATATATATATATATATATATATATACAACCATAAGGATTTTCGCATAAGATCAGAGTGTAGTTTTTTGCTCGATTCGTGGCCCTTCTTAGATGGAATCCGTTATGTTCTCTAACCGATAAGCCTACATATTATAAAGCGGTACTTATTGTTAATTGGGAAAGAGTTAAAATTAGACGTGAAGGAGAAGCGTTAGGAAGAAAAATAAGAGAGGAACAAGAAGTCCAGGTGAAAGACATGGAGAGACACAGGTTTGATAATCGGATAAGTGTCAATGAACGAAATATTAAAATGCAAATGGGCTGACCTTTTTTTTTCAAATACTAATTTATTGGTTCCAGAAATTAAATGAAATTTAACATTCCTTATTATAGGAATTTAGATCATTTTACTACCACAATTATAAATATTACCAATACTAAAAAGAAATGATTGTATAATTTTAGTGGCCTTGCAAACAATTGTGATGTATGTAACTCCAGAGGAATGAAAATCCCCTATATCATAAGGCCTGTGAATTTATATATGGAATAAAGAAATACTTCTATTTACTAAGTAACGTTTACACACACACACACACACACACACACACACACACACACACACATATATATATGAATATTGTTAATTACATCTGACAACGAATGTCTTATATTTGATCAGGAGCCGTTCTAAACTTGTTATAGTTGCTTTAATTTCGGGAGACAAATAAAGACAAAAATTGGCCAACATTTAGATATTATGCTGTTCTTGGTCTGAACCATGTTCAGAGTGGATATATGGAAATTTATATATGTTATGTTATGTTTAACAGTATATGTTTGAATAATAATCTGTTACCACAATACACTATATACATACGCATATACATATATATATATATATATATATATAAATAAATATATATATATATATATATATATATATATATATCAACATGTTAGATTAAATATATATATATATATCAACATGTTGGAATATATATATATATATATATATATATATATATATATTATGAATTTAAGTGCAGTACTAGATTGCCGGCATGGCCTTATCGTTTTATAGCTGAAATGGCTAGATTTAATTATAAGTTCTATGCAACAGCTTCTTTTATCACACTTCTCGCATGTGGAAGTCTCTTACGGATTTTTGCTTCCCAGTCAACTTTGATCGTCAAAAAATTAAATGACAATCGTTATCTTCTGTCTTATTAATTCTTGTTCTTTTATTCCCCTCTCTCCTTAATATTAGTTTTATATTCTCAAACACTCTGCAAAGTCTTGTGTCTTCGTGGTTTTGTTGCCTTGGTTGGAGTGAAATGGTTAATAAATAAACTACACAATAATACAAAAGGAGGCATTTACTAGTGTATAAGAGGATTGCATAACTTATACAGCGTTCATACACCTATGTCCTATAAATCAGTATTTTCATATCTTTTAGTGTTTTTTCTCTAGTCGACGCATGAGCAGAAAGAATGCACCGAAATCAAATGAGCATGCTTTTACAGAGGTAAGAATATTTCATAGAGAGGGCAGGCAGTGAGGTTTGAACTCACAATCAATAGCAATCTTGTATCCACAAGCATGTGCGGAGTATGAAAATGGATCGAAAGGCAAAAGGAAGACATAAGGATTCTAAGTATTTATTATTGTTATCTTTTTTCCAAAATTGTTAGTGTTGAGGGGTCTTCCCCCTTTTTAAACAAATGGACTCACCCAGTATATACATATACTACTGCTACGTGAAGACCTGAGAGACGAGAGCAACAAAGGTTGAAGGTAACAGATAGACAGAACGAACGTAGCCAGCAAGAGTCACCGTGAGCGAGCACGTAGACTCAGTAACAGCGATACTTCAATACCAAAGACTGTATAGATATTTTGCTACTAACCCGCATTCCTGGAACTACTACCCTGCATTACCAGTTTGTATTATTACCTTAATACATTATTTTCCTATGTTCATTCTTGGCGTTTGTTATTTATTGGTACCGGATTTCATCCCGGAATCCACAGTTAGGTATTGTTGTAATGGAATGTTCCACTTTCCCTATTACCTATTGTGGACTGACTATATCAATAATATATGTAGAACATACCAGAGTCTGTCTGTCTATCAGTCTGACTGGGGCACCCCGCTGTGGTGTAATGTTTAGCAAGCTTATCTCGCTAGAACAATTACGACTGAGTAGTGAGTTCGATCCTCACTGGGTGCCTCTTACTTTCGGCCATGTGCCACATCCAAGCTACGCTTGGAAAATCACTATCAGTCTGATTGGCTTCGGGAAGTGTTAATCAACTCCCTTTCTTTCAGTAGTGTATTATCTTTTATAATAAACCGCTCTTTCTTTCATCTACGTTTTACTGTCTCTTCCACTCGAGCACCACCTTGGTCTGTCTGTAACCTTTTTAAGGATACAACAGGTATATATGTAAATTACTTTAAAAATTATTTTGGATTGGGGTTGATCTATGCTTTATATATTTTGAATAAGATGAGGTTAGGGATTTAACCTTTTTCTTTTAATATTTTCGTATTTTTGTGGTCACGTATCTTGGTTTGGAATAGTAGTAATTCTTTCAGGAAAGGAGATATTGGAAAGAATCCCGGGCTCAGATTTATATTTTGATAAGATTCAATTTCAGCACTTTCGAGAATTTCCCTTCTGAGTAAGTTACTTCCTTTTTTTAAGAAATGTGTCATTTGTTAGGCCAAAGTTGTGGTTGAATTTATTTCCATATATAACTCATGCACTTGATAAATTGTTGTGTCTAAGGTCTCCTTCCTTTTGTCTTTATTCATATTGTTCTTTTACAGGTATACTGTATCTGATATTTACACACACACACACACACACACACACACACACACACACACACACACATATTGTGTGTATTTACGCAGCATTTTCTCATTCATACAATTATGGAATCTCCTAATATCCTTAAATATCTATAATTGGTAACAGAAGCTATTGGTTTATACCAACGGCTTCCTATACTTAATACTTTTCGAATTCACTCTCGCGTGCTCATGTGTGACGTCATGAGCTGCGGTGCGATTTTCGCTTCCAGCGTCTTATATGCACGTGTTTATTGTTGCTTGGAAATCCTCCATGTAAACAATCACAGACTATCATCACTGACTTGTCCGTATATTGCTTAATATATTGTACAGTAATTGACATCTTTGATAATGGCTTATGTAAGCCAAAGCTTAGATTGGATTAAAAATATGGATCAATATTGTGATTTTTCTTTCTTCGTTTAATGATAATGTTATTAAACTTATCAGACGTTATGAAAAAAAATTTACATAAAATAAATAGACAACACTTGTCTATATTATTTAATGAAACATGTATGAATATACATATGTATATATATATATATATATATATATATATATATATATATATATATGAATAGCAAAAGACTGAGAAAGAAAGCAAGGAAGTAAGCATGATGTGAATAAATTATAAGTACATGGTCACAAGATTGAGCACCCAGTCATGAATACGATCATTAATAAATGCTTTTAATGACTGCAATGTTGGCCCTCGCTCAGTGGTTGGTAGTTAGAAACATACTTTGTAATAAGTGATAGAAAATGAAGTTAAGAAATTTAAGTTATTGTGTGAGTGTATGAGAAAGGGAGAGATAGAGACAGATAGAGAGAGGCCGAAGGGAGAGGGAGAGGAGATGAAGTGTAAGGGGAGGATGTTGAGAGAAATAGAAAGAAAGCACACTTAAATGTTTATAACCCACAGTCAGGGAGTTGGAATTTGGGTCGGTTATTTATTTGTTCACTTCTGACAGGGTTATGTAACCGAATTTGATATGCGTTCAGATATTGGCTCGAACAGGCTCCCGTATGAAAGGCACTTGGTTTTTAAATTGACTTCTGCAACCCACTTTGGTAGAAAAAA